GTTTTTTAGCTAATATGTATCAGTTTCTTGATCACTCTTGAGACTGATCAAAATTCCTTCGCAAAACCGGACTCTTGGTAATTGTAGGATACACACAAAGGTGCCACACAATCCATTGACTAACTCATTGTTGATCACTTTCAATGACTTTGGTATGAACTGTCACGTAATTAGTCGAAAAAAGTACTTTATGATAAAAATTTCTTCCAATCAGTATTTATATCGTCTCAAAAATCTGGAAGAAAGAATAATAGTGTGTACTTTTATTTATGTACTTGTGTCGGAGTTGCGTAATAAACATGTAAACACAGATACGAAAAGCATGACAACACATGATGTATTGACTTTAGGCATAAATCAGTCATCCGCTATCTGTTTAGTCATACAAAATAGTCACACAATTAAAGACAATCAACCAATCAGCTGATCTGACATAGTGAAGTGAAGGTTGTATCAACTGATTAGTTCTTATGTATTGTTAAAAGGAAAACAACGAACTGAAATCTACCAATCAGAAAATGCGGAAGTTGTCTACAGGTATGGAGGTTTTATATGCGTAGGCATCCCTTAGATGTTCTCTAACAGGCAGATTTCAGTTTGCAAATTATACCAAGGTCAGTTAATCATGTGATTATTGATTATTTACCCATATCAGCTGATTCATTGTTGAATAATGTGATTATAGACAGAAGCGGTGTAAATCTGCACCTTTCTCATACTATTGTTGAGTAATTTTTCTGGAATTTGAACATTATAGTGTTCTAAACAAAATGCCACACTTTAAAAAACAATCATTTCAAAATTCCAACTGTTGAATAAAAAATATTCTTTCGATAATCTCTTCTTCTTTATCAGGTTCTACAGTTAAATATTGTCCATAATAATTAAAACATTATTCATAATGACAGTATGCTTTTTGTAATAACATTGAATTGCTGACATTAAAATTTCAAGAGATGGTGTATGAGTGAATAGAACGTTACTCACAGATTACATTTTCAAGATTTAGTTTCCATGGTCTTGATTTCCATCACTTTTAGCCCTGGACTGATATCAGTCAGAGTACCATTGAAAACCAGGGAGTACTTGACAGATGTTTTGCCCCAGTTAGTTGATAGTCACCCTAAAATCAAGAATTGGTAGAAGTAAAAATTTTTTGGTTGGTCACTGAGTTCAGTTCCAGTGGTTAAATAGTCTACGAGCTTACTTTGTAACCAAGTGGTCCCAAATTCGTACCCCAGTGGTGGTGGGTGTTAGTACCGATGAGTCCCAAACTGGGCTGACAAAACAGCTGTCTGTCAGTGCTGGTTTTCAATGGTTCTCTAACTGAAATCAATTCGTGGTCAAGAATGAATTTAATGAGAACATTAATCATTATGCGGATTCGTTATATCCTATATATTCGTTGTGATTGATGACCATTCACTTTGGTATACTGGTATTAAAGTCACTTTAGTGTTACATTTATGTATATTATCGCACACATATCTACACATATTTTGAACTATAATCTATGAGTAATAAACTATTCAAGTATATTCCACATCTTCGAAGTTTCTATTGTCAGCATGTCCAGAATTTTTGCCAACCTCATTCAACAGCTGGTTAAATGACAGTGCCACATGTCAAGTGATCCACAACAGTAAACTCAGAAAAGAATAACTTTAAAGTGAATACATAAGTAATACAAGGCTGACTATAATGACCCACGTTGATATTCTTAATTGTGGTTGATTGGGTTATGCATAAAACTGTAGGGAACGAGAAGAGAGGAGTACCTTGAACCGATAAGAAGACTCTAGAAGATCTGGACTTCCTTCGCTGGCGATTTATGTCCAATTTTAAACAAACTTGAATACTCACAGATGAAAACCAGTTAGCTAAAAGAAGAGGCAACGAAAACTGAACTTGAAATAAACATAGAAAAACGGAGGGGATAAAGACAACCAACCAACAACATCAAGAATATGTTATGCATATGTATAATATGTATAAATTCAATCAATCTGTTGCTCCATCAGTCCTTTTTTCCAAACGAAACTTCCTCCATCTTGTCTTATTGCACTATAAACAGTTAGTCATTTTATCACTTGATAATTCGCCTACTTACTTCATTTCTGAGACTATGCTGCTTATACTTACTACTTATAACACGAAGTCATTCTATTAAGTCTTTTTTGTTTCACGTTCCCCAGTGGAACATAGAGATTCAAGCTAGTGGCCTCAATTTTCTGCAGCAGTTTTTTTATTTTTACAGGATGGGGTTGCTAGCCCCATCCCCAACCTTCCCTCTTCACCAGGATTATTTCTGGCTTAGCGAGGTAAGGGAGTGCACCGACCGGGGATCGAACCCCGGACCATGTGCATGGTCGACGAGCGTCCTAACCGCTATGCCACCGATGTTCTATTGAGTATGTTCACACGCTATTCTGTAACTTATAATTTGATTTTGTTTAGGATCCACGCAGGTGAAGAGAATCTATGAAATAAAGCTAGCGCGGATTATTCTCCTAATATGTTTGTTCTTTATTTATTAAGGCAATATTCTTTGTCCACTGCTCAGTTCGCTGAAATATTTTGTACCACTTATTATTTCCCTTCAATCACATGCCCAACTAGCTGTTTCCTATTTGCGTTCTACTCGAATGATTATATGCCAGCCTTCCTGGAATGTCATGTGCATCAATGGACTCCTCAGTCTATGTCTAATCCATTACAGTTTCTCAATACTTTTTCCTGGAAATGGGCTTTTGATTTGTTCGTCGTCTGCCAGATTTCCTTGTTGGTAATGCTTTCTGGCCGGCAGGTCACCTGATTTTCAGTGTCGAAACACTAAGTGGTGGATCCTTCGATCAAAGTCTTCACCTGGCTGTTGGAAATGCTTTTCATGAAGCATTCTTTAGGTTTCTGATCTATATAGAAGATTTCCGAACTGTCTTGCCTTTCTGATTCTGGTTGGATTCGACATCCACATATGTCCTATCACCTGTAGTAGAAACGAGGCTGTCTAGATAATCCTCGGAAATGACCTCTTTCAGTCCATTGGATATAGAAATATCAAAGCACAAGAAAAATATAAAAGCCAATTTCATTCTTCGCTAGAATATTGTTTACGTCATTAAACTACTACAAAATAGTAATGAATGATCAAATGGTAACTAGAGGTCGGTAAAGGCTAATAAGTTTGGACTTAAGGTTGCATAATACCAAAATCTCTCAGAAAAAATTTATATTCATGAGATAGCATGGAGATAAGTATTAAAATACATACTGAGTGGCAGAGGAATAGAATGAACAAAAGGTTAGTTAAGAAACTAATGTTTGGTAAATATCATACGAAAACAGGAGAAAAATTACTATTAATAACAAAATATATTGACATCTGTTGAACCCGAAATCATACCCAAAGCAAAACAGGCAAGGGATGGAGAAGTTTCTTCTGTTTGTACGCATAAATCAAGGTTCTTCATACCCGAATTTTGCGAAGACCTTGACAATACGAATCACAATACGGAAACATACCGCTTGTTTGGAGAGGTTTCTTTAACTGTGTAGATAACTTCGAATGCACTTTTCTTAGATATTGAGTGGCCACGACCGGAACAATCTGTCTGGATTCAGGAAAGGCAAATTATTTACAGATCAAATTGCAACTCTGTGCAGTATCACTTAACAAAGTCAAACCTCCACCTCAACTTCATCGACATTGAATAGGCTCTCGACAATGTTGGCCTCGAAATAATTTGGAAACTACTTCAACGGTATGGAATGCTGGCCCCAAACTTTTATCAACATTATTTAAAGGACATATGATGATACCACGTCTCAGGCGTTCCATAACGGGAAACTCAGAGACGACTGCCTTTGAAAGGAAGACATGAGTAAGACAAGGCTGACTACTATTACCAACGATGTGATATCGCTAATTATAGTCAACTGGATTATGCAGAACAGCACACATGGACAGCGAGAAGACAGGAATACGTCAGCTTGTCTACCTTACACGAATACTTTCGACGCATGAAAAGACTCTAGACTACCTGGAGTTCACGTGGATAACATGTCTATGTCAGACAAACTTAAAGATATACAGACGAAAACCAATAAGACATCTAAGGTACTACCAAAAACAACTACGAATCACTGCCATCGGAATAAATTTGGAAGAGGTCACTTCCTTCAGTTATCTGGCTAGAATACCTCAAATACGGCCAGCCAAGCGAATGAAGACATCGAAACCGGCCAGAATTGGAAAGGCAATACATATCTTTATCACTCTGAAAAAACTTTAGCAGTCTGCTTGATGAACTACATAGTATGAAGAACAATATCCGTATCTTGAGCACTGATGTAAAGTTAGGTAATTTTGCTTTGTGGGTCAGAATTTAGCACACGCATCATGAAAAACATTTCTGACAGGATACTTCAGATTTTTATTAGGAACTGCCTTGTCTGTCTCCATACAGAAGATCAAATGGCCAGAAATACTCATAAATAAAGAGCTCTGCAGGCAAAGAACCGACCAGGAATCTATTGTTGAACAAACATTTCGAGGAAAATGGAGACTGATGGATTGGACACAATCTGAGGAGATCGTCGCGCTCCACGCTACCTCTGATGTCGAATCCGAACAGGGAACGAGTGTCAGGGGGTGACTTTAGGAGACTATGTGAGGAGTAGTAGATGAAAAACTCTGAGTAGTCCTAGGACTAATTAAAGAGGACTGAAGTAAGGACAAAGTGGAGATGCGCGCCATTTGAAGCTGTATGATACACCTGGAACCCAGAGAAGCAACAGTAAAATAAATAATAATAATTGAGTGACCAGTTTTAAATTCGTGTTAAATTATAGAACTGCTTATTTATTCTGCACCTAGGCGGGATAATATCTCTTGACTCTTTATTAGGTAAAACACTCATTTAGCGACTCATGTGTATATATATTTTTTTTCCTTAGACATTTTAGCCAGTAATTTTATACTACTCAAATTGCTATTTCAGCGTTGCAATCATATATGGACATCAAAAAATGGTTGCGTGAATGTATTTATCTGTCATCATTCTCCTTTGTATACAACCACAACAACAATAATAACGACGACGATTATAACGAATCAGTTCTCCTGTCCAACAAATATTTATGAATTCCGTTATACATTTGACCGACAAAAGTGTACATCCTGTTCAACATCCAACGAAACAGTTTCAGGGTCAACATATCCACATGAAGTGATCAAGGTAAGTTAGAACAGTATTAGTTATGTTTGCGTGGTGAGAATTCGGTTCACTTAAAATCGCCATGGGGCGTACTGGACAACCTTCTTGTCCTCCTAATTTGGGACTTCCCCTTCAACAACAGTATGCGCCCACAGCCTCATCAGGGACTAAACCACCTATTAACTTCAGATGTTTACGATACTAGCCTGGCTTACATTTAGACTCGTGGGCTGGAATTCGCTAAACCTAGTGAGGTTCACCATGTCAGAACAAGGTGTCTTTGCTGGTCGAAAACATTGGCTGACGGCAATATTATCAAACGGAACCATATATATAATTGTGTTATTGCTTTATTTGAAGCATTTTGTAGCTGTGTGTAACTGAAGGATATTTTGGTCAGCAATACAGTAGCACTCAAAGATTGCTTTCCTTAATTCAGTCCACAAAGAGTCACTTTTAGTTGTTCCATATTGGACTTCAGGGGCATGACTGATTCCAAGATTGGCAAGGAACTGACTAACACATCAGTTAGACAACCGTAAAAAACCGGTACTGGACAGGTGTTTCAACCTTGTTTGAGGCTTTTCTGTAGTACTGTAGTAATTTATTGTAATAGTAATATTAGTATTTCGAGATGACTGAATTACACGAATCCAATCAAAACTCAGAGAGGGCAGCAATCCGGAATTTGTATTTAGCGGAATTATAATGCAATTCATATATGAAACATATCAACAGTCAACAGTAAGTATTTAAACAATACAGAGATAGAAATTGTCAATCACCACATCCGCCACACCTCGAATATCTCCTCGCGTATTTATAACGATGTCTCGGTTTGCTTGCAAGTAGCTTCGACCTAACTGATTCTGTGATATTATTTTCATCAGTACTATCTGGACTTATTTCTGAATTATCTACAAAATCAGGATTATTAGCGGAATCAATAATATTATAATTGGAACGACCTACTTCATTTATTGTCACTTTGTCCAGGTGTCCGTTATGAACTGAGTGATCTTTGATGTCTAATATCTTCACCACTCGATTTCCCATTTTTTGTAGTATAATTCCAACAGAAGGTCTGTAGTTATTATCTTTGTAATAATGTACATTAGAAGTAGTGGACATCAGATGCTTTTTGAGAATTCGAGATTTGAATAGTTTTGCAGGACTTTCACAAGAACTTGTATGCTCTGGATTCACCAGACGTAGTCTATGCATATGCAGTAATTCCTCAATTTTATTCAGTTGCTCTCTCATCTCATTCAGGTCTTTTCGTGCTTTCGACAGTTCACATTGCAACTTAGCTACCTCATTTTTGAATACAGTTGATACTTGCGTTGCTGAACTTGCAGTGGAGGTTTTCGTTGGATTAGCTTGAGTATTTTGAAAAGTTGAAAGACACATAGACTCCATTTTACTAGACAGCTTGGGAGAATTATAAGAATGTTGAGCAACATAAGTACTCGAACTCCTGCAAACCGTCTTGATGTGTCCAACTTTACCACATTTATAGCACTTAGCACTCCGAAAACGGCAAGTGCTTCGTAGATGTAACTTTCCACAGGATAAACACGGTTTAATGTTTTTGATCTCTGGCTGCATTCTATTACCTGTGGACGGCAGTTTGGATTTCTTTCCATGAACACTTGTATTTTCGACTTTGGACAGCATGACATCAGATACTGACGTAGTGGGAGCAGAGTATTCATTATGGACATCTTCATATGTAATACATACCTCTTTAGCAGTTTGAAACGTACAAGAAGGAATCTGAATTAACTCTTTCTCTAATTTAGGAATGTTGATTCCAGCAATTAGACGATCACGTAGTTGTGTATGCAGCTGATCTCCAAAATTACACTTTGAGGCTTGAATTTGGAGTTGTAGTATAAAGTCTCTTATCTTCTGATTGGGAGAACGTACCAGTTTGTTGAACTGAGCCCTCTCTCTGGTCTCAAAAGTAGTTACATGGAAGTGATCTATAAGAAGTTCACGGAGCTTAGCATATGGCATAGAAATGGGTTTATCTGGAAACGCCAGATTCTTCACCAGGCTATATGCATCAAACCCAATAGTAGTGATGAAATGAGCAGGTATTTTATCATCCCGAACATTCTTGGAAATGCACCACGCATCAAAGCATTCCAAATAATCAGCAATCTCCCGCGGAGAACCATTAAGAGGAAATTTTCCCAGGTTACTTAGCTCCATCGCGACGCCAATTTGTAGTAATTTATTGTACTTGAAGTATTAGTATACCGGGATGACGGAATTATAGGAATCTAATCAAAACCCAGAGAGGGCAGCAATCAGTAATTTGTATTTAGCGGAATTAGAATGCAATTCATATATGAAACATATCAACAGTCAACAGTAAGTATTTAAACAATACAGAGATAGAAATTGTCAATCACCACAAGTACTCACCCGTGACTCCACTGTCATGGATCAAAAAACCTAGGTGCTTCAGGATATAAGGTGAACTTGGAACGATTCAGTCACTGAAACGGTGGAATCCATCGGCTGGTTCCAGAAATTCTAACATCCATTAACTCGCCATATAGCATCATCCCTGTAAGCCAAAGTCATTAGTGAATATCTTGTTGGAACCACTAGAAACAATAACTGTCCCTCTATCTTTTTATCCTAACATGAATATTGCGGTTATTATTCATAGCTCTTACTTTTCATTGTTTTCAGGTTTTACAATATATTCGTCGTCATATTTCTGTGAAACCGGTCAATAATAATCTGCCATGCCATGGATTCAAAATTGAATTTACTGACACATATTCATCATCAACGGCACTAAATTTGACAAATTCTAAAGACCGCAACAATTTAACCCTAGTGAAGTCCACGCTACCATCAGTAAATTATAAGAATGACCTCAAAGGTATGGCCACAAGTAAAATAGACATAGTGTCAAATGGGAATCAACAGACCCCCGTCGAATCTCTTCCATCAATCAAGGATAAAACTGTCCAGATCCAGAAGAATTGCACTGACAAATTAACCCCAGTAGATGAAGAATTTCAAAAATTATCAATTACTGTTCAGCAGAATCAGCAGCTTTTGGAACAGCATTCAAAAAGTGACAATTACAGAAACCTTAGTAATGCTCACCTTTCTACAGATTTGAACAAGGCCGATGACGACGATGATAATGATAATAGTAATAATAAAAAGGATGAACTGATGGCAGAGTTGAATAATGCTACGAAAGTAGTAGAAGTCGAAATGTTGGTAAAAGACAAACCTGTTCAGAAACAATCTCAAAATTGCATGAGCAAAAAGACACCAGTTCGCATCTCCCGATATATTTAAGATTAACATAACTCTCCATACATGTAATTTAGATTTTTGTATAAAAATTAAGAAAACTTGTTTGAGAATGATTTATTACTGATTTCATCGTCTTTAATTTCATTTAATCCGGTTTCATTTTCATCAGAAGATGCTTTTTGGATTCTTGTCTTCTCATTTTCTCTGTTGACGCCATCATTTTATTTATAGCGCCAAAAACTTTCGAATTCACACAGCAGTAATAGACAAGTGCTGAATACTCAATGTTTCAATAATTACATATCATGTAACTTTTGATAATTAATTTGTTACTTTTTATTCGTTATCTTATTCTTCTCCCGACGTAGACAATCAACTTATTACTCACTTTATTTTATGGTACGTAATGAACACTAAAGATATTACCTCTCTTTTTTACCTCCTTTTTTGGTGTGAGGGAGTACTGGTTAAGCTTCTGTCAAGGTAAGTCTGGTCTGAATTATTAGGAAGGATTTGTAGCTCAGGTGGATGATTTGGATTTGATTGTGTTGTTTGAAGCGGTGGATTTAATTGCTAATTTTCCGTTGTCCTTACAGACAACATCCCTTCAGTATGAAATGAATTTATTTGAATCCCTCTTGCAAGAATGATGATATAATTGTATCTCCTAACAACCATTACTGTGATTGGTTATAATTTACACTGATCATTTTTATTCACTTAAAATCTGGACATTTTCGTCAAATGATTTATTTTTTATTATTTGATAGATTTGGCCTGTTGTCATGTGTTTGGTTATCCCTGACATTCGTTTGAGTACCAAGCCTCTGGAAATTTCTCGACTGTATTTTTTCATGTTCCCACTGCTTAAAATTTCTACATTTTCCCAGTCATAATAGTGTCCATGATTGTCGACATACGTCGATACAAAAGAATACATATCGTGTTTTTTCACAGCTAATTTGTGTTCTTGGAATGAGATTCTATGGGAACGTCCCGTTGGACCAGTGTAGTGTTTATAGCAGCTTATACAATTTATTCTTTAGATGGTGTGTTGATCGTTTCTCCTCTTGCTCCTGGATCCTTTATTCTACACAATATTGAATGAAGTGATTGTGTTGGTCGGTTTGTGTTGTGTGTATAATTTAAATGGTTTTAGCATTCTAGCTATTATTATTTCAGAGATATTCTTTATATATATGGTAGAATTAATTTTCTTGTAGACTTTGAAGATGGTTTCTTGTTGATATTTAGATTTCACTTTAAACATTTAATTTCTAATGAAATAGTACGAGTATTTACTTTTCTTGAAGAGAAAGTTAGCACATATTTCTCTTCTTACCGTCTTTTCTCTTCAGTAATGGAGCGCTTTAGTATTCTTGAAGTCTTCTAAACAGTATTTGCTCACAGTTTCTTTTGTGAGTGATTGTTTGTTCGGTTTGGTGACTTCAACCTACCTACATGATATATATATATATATAATTTCTTTGCAGTACTACTAAAATATCAGGTCCTGGAAATCCGCTTTGAAATTTCAATTGCTTTTGCATTTTAATCTTATGTGATGGGATTACTAGCTACACGCCTAACTTCCCACGCTAAACCGGGCTTAATACTAGCTGTAGGGTGTTAAGGAGTGTGTGGATGGACGGGAATCTAACCCTTGACTTGTGCGACGTCATTTCCGAGCATTTTGCCACACAAACTAAGGAGTACTGGATAACCGTCTCGTCCTTGCTGGAGACTCTTTGGCTGTAGTCCCACAAGACCCCACCATGGATCGAAATCGGGGGATTCAGGTTTTATGGGGTGGAGTTCGTTGATCACTCACTCAGACAGTGGGGGGGGATGGTGCTGTACTATAACTAATGATAGATATGACTGACTGCGGTCCTACTGAATATTAACCAGTGTAACGACAGAAGTCAAGGGCCAGGCAACAGATCGTTTATTAAGAAAATCAAGAGATATGTATAGAATTTTAGGTACATTATTATTCGTTATTATAGCAGGAAAGCAACGTCTTCTGATTGGATTTTCTTGCTGACGGTTATCTATACTGTGAATCGCATTCGCACGCCTCAAGTCTGCTCTGATTAGTTGGTGAATTCCTCAAAGTTAGGCTTTGTTCTTGTTTTCTCTCATGACCCTGATTCGGGACGTAAACATTGACGTAAATTGTTGTCTACAATTTTGTCTTGCAGACAGCTCTCACCGCATCAGTAGTGTTTGCTAGCGAGAAGTAATCTAAAGACCCTTGAGTTGTTTTACTTATATAATAATAAGGAGGAATTTTTTTCTTAAACTTTGCAATTCGCAAACTCCGACATTTATTTTGTGAATGCAGTCAATAAACTCAAATAGGTAACCAGAAAGAATCTAGGCGGTTTGAAATCATTTGGGGCTTTGAGCTTAATCAAACCTGGAGCACCAGTGACTAATGAGACCGATCGGATGCGAAAGAAACGGTGGTGCAGACTTAATTTAAACTAATTAGCACTCGCCAGCAAATAGTCGCAAAAGTCTCTCAGCACAATACGCAGATATGGAAACACGTTGGATTACTTAATAATTATTTATACGGTATATCAAGCAAACCATATAAATTCATCATTTTTAACTGTGTAGTTTGTAACTTGGGGGTGTCAGAGCAAATAGTTTCTTCCCTTCATGAATACTTAATTTTTATCTGAAACGTGCAGTATATTCGTGAGCACAATACATTTTGAACGTCCTTTTACATTGGCAGACACGTAGACACATACAAACTTCTCGTTACATTGATCAAGAAGATAACAGAGCATAGAAGATTACAGCCTCTCTCATTATTGTAGGTGAAAGTATCTATGGATGACGACCAGAGTTAATAGCGAGGTGGTGGATGGGGAACTGAGGTAAAAAGAAAATGTTGGGTAATTCCATATTGGTTTGTTTATTAGATGTATCACACAGTGAAACAGTATTATAAGTAATAATAATAATAAATAATACTGTTTCACTGTGTAATACATCTAATAAACAAACTAATATGGAATTACTTACTACCACAGTGCCCAAGTTTTACACATATATAAAATGTTGGGGATGAAAATAATATTCTCAATGAGCAAAATGAATCTTGGTTGTAAAATGGAATTCACTTGTGAGGCGGCAGCTTATTCAAAGTAACAAGAAAAGAGTTTAGTATCTTAATTGGTAATACGACTTCTGAAAAGAGAGAATCATTTTGTTCAGGAGCATTTTCGGTTCGTTTCCCGTGTTTCTCACAAGAGGTTTCTGTCGCAGTCCATTCTATTCAAGTGGAACAATGCTTTTGCTTCGAAGAAACTGATAGGTGGAGTGTTTGAGTCTCAGTCAGTGAGGGTTGGTTCGTAGAGGGTCGCTCACTGGCTTGGGATTGCAGGTGTACTCATCCAGCTGACTGCATGACTGACTGACGGGTTCCACTCTGAACTAAATCAGCATCCTAGGTTTGACAATGCTATTCACTACCTCGAACCATCTTACAATTCGAGCATTTAGTTACCAAGATTTATTAGCCTAGTGTAAACCTTTGTCAGCACCAAGGAATTCACATACATGACTTCGATGACACCCTTATGGACAAGGTGTATATACTTATGTTATCACTCGTCAAGATTATTCAGGAACTTTCTTCTAGTCTCATTTTTGCCAGTAGTGTGTATATACCACCTGGAAATATACTAGAACAAAGATTTGTTTTATGTTGTTATTCCGTTTCTTTTTTTTATCATTTGAGATCAATGCGTCACAAGTTGTTTAACGAAATGAAGTGTGGAGTAAGAATGAAAAGAATATAAACATAATATGATTAGTTGGGTGGGTTTATTGCTTATCTCCGCTAACTGAAGCATTGTAGTCTATTACTTCGTTCGTTGAACGACAAATTATATTTTATGTATGCTTCTGAAGTGACATTTCGTATAAAATGTTTTTCTGAAGTACTTATTACCGGTAGCATCATTTTCTTGAACTGAGTTACATTTGTTGCACAGAAAATGGTGATATCTGCACAATGTAATGGATAAAGGATGCAGTAAGTTCAAAAGTTGAACGTTTATTATTGAATTTTTGTAAAACCACGCTGCTGTATTCTGACCTATTTCCACAAGTGCCCTAATGCCCACTGGACCCACTTCAAAAAAAAGATATGCCATTAGTCAATAAGAGATTGGTTGACAACCTTACAGATGGATCATAGAGTTTCGAAACTTGTGAAAACAGAAGTTTCTTCGAATTTATAGATACAGCTTGTTGACGAGTAGCAATAAAAGTCGAACGTGGGTCTGTCTGTGGCTTTCTGCAAATACTGCCTCCACTAACATAACATAAATCTAGGGCATCAACTAGCTCTGTTTTCTCAAAATAGTAGACTAGACGATACGTCAGCAGTACAACAAATCTTATATAACAGACTGAACTACATATAAGACTTTTGAACGGGAGTTAATATGGCATATCCCCAAAGGAACAAGAGCACCAAAAGCACATTGAAAGCTCTGGATGAAGTAATTTAAGCGAAAAGTAAACTGGTTATTCAGTGGTGGAGTACTCTCCAGCTACGTATGAGGTACGGGCATAGTCCACACACACACACACACACGCACAACCTTTATATACGCATATACCTCATCCATCTCCCTAGCCGGTAGTGAGCCAATAGGAGTTTCAGATTCGATGTGAAACTAGAAACTAAACACCTGCAACACGACACCACCTTAACTGAAAATGCAAAAGAACGAATCGCTATGTTCTTTTCAAAATGCTAAGTAATGAAACAAAAATTAAGGTAAAAGGCAGGGCGTTGTCACACTGAACTTCATGTCATATTTTACGTTGCTATTTTCAAGGTTTGGGACCCATGGGTTTTACTCTTATATCAGTTGTCACTACTTAAGTTGTCAGTGTGTGGCTATCTGATGGAACCCATTCCGGATCCAATATTTCTTGAAGGCATCCATGAGATTCCAGAGTTTCACATGGATTCGTACCAACCTAAAAAACCTGGTAATGACGGTCCTCTGGAAAATCGTCTGGATGAATGGTGGTAGCTGCGACAAATCCAGTTTTTGAAAGTTGGACATTATTAGATAATTCTGTATTCTCTGTGTTAATCTGAAAGGTTATGTGTTGCTTGCCTCTTATGTCAGCTTACTTCTTTCCACTTGCATATGTTCATGTTTATGAGACTTGACACATTAGTCGTAAGCGAAATCCTGATCATTTAGGGACTTTCGCCATTTCAGATCTTATCTGTCTTCTCCCTCGCCACGATATGTAGCAAGATCTCATCCACAACAAGCAAAGGGACCATCGGTGATAATAAGCAGTCTTATCGTATACCTATCTTCACTTCAAAAGTATTGGAGAACATTCTGTTGTGAATTATTTGACATTTGGCATCATCATACACCTGTGAAGTGGGGTTTATAAATCTTTCCATACTGCACCCTTCAATGTTGAGTTGGTCTCCATAAACTTCACATTCGACGCTATTGAAAGCTTTTCAAAGTCAGTGAAGTAGAGGCGCGAGTTGAATACCCTTCTAGATTCTGATGTGAAGAATCGCCACTTGAATCATAAATTATGTTTCCTCTTAATCTGGTTAGTTCCACCCAATGTCTTCCGTTCAAGGAACCTTTAAGACTCTCCAGGATGATGCAGCTTAATATCTGTTCGGACAGAAGTATGCAGCAACTCAAGTTATTGTATAGCCTTGATTTAAATCTTTTTAGAACTTTGACAAGTTGGCGCCTTTTAGAATTTGGAATATTTTCCTTCCACCTATGCCCTCCAAAATGGTATAGTCAGTATGTTCACTGAGGTCTCTAGGTCTATCTTCAAAACTACAAAGGGTTTTATGTATTATTGCTAATTACCTGACTTCTGTCCTCTTGTGTTATTATAAGTTAAAATGAATGTAAGAAAATTTATACCAAACTTGTAACAGAACAAATATTACAATGAAAATCCAACTTAATGAAATGATAGTGTTACAGTATATTTTAGATAAAATACAGTTGATGAGCTATAGAGGTTAATGGTCACTCGGTTATACAGTTAAAGTCTGCCGCTATAGATTGTAAATATAACCTACAGAAGTGTTCACTCCTGGAGTCATGTCTACTAGTAGAAGCTGTGGACCGGTTGTACAGTAGTCTTCGGATAAGGATGAGAGGCTCCTGCAAAATTTAAAGTAAACAACACGGATAGTAGTGAAGCAAGTAGGCAGTATGTACCAGTGAGGAGACAAAGCATCGAGCAGTACACTGTATTGTAGATTGTGCTCCAAAGTAATGTTTATTTC